CCCCCCTGTCTGGGAAAAGGGGTTAATACCCCCTGTCTGTGTGGGGGTTAATCCCCCCTGTCTGGGAGAAGGGGTTAATATCTGCTGTTTGTTTGGGAGTTAATCCCCCCTGTCTGGGAAGTGGGGGTTAATACCCCCTGTCTGTCAGGGTGGGAGTTAATACCCCCTGTCTGGGAAGTAGGGGTTAATCCCCCTGTCTGCATGGGAAGGGTGAGTTCATTCCCAATGTCTGTGTGAGGGCATGTAATCCCCCTGTTTGAGTGGGGGAAGGTGTTAATTACATTGTCTGAAGCAGTGGTTTTTAAGTCACCTGTTGGTTTGCAAAGTTTAATCATTTTGTCCATGGTTTCATCTTATTGCGAAGCTGGGAATCTGAGATAATCACAAAATATTGGATAAACACAGCAGTGGGTAGCTATGAAGAGAGTCAAACATTTAGCTCACTGATCCTTCATTTAAAAAGTGTCCACTTTAGAAAGAGGCAATTGAAGGCATGGACCCCAGTTAAAATTGGGTTTATTAAGGAAGTGCACATATATAAGAATTGAGAGGCTGGAAGACATTCTGAAGATTGGTGGGGCTTGGGGGGGATATCGGGTCTAGGGAGAAGTCAGAAAACAAGGGTGTGGTTTTCAAAACTGAGGCATTAGTGAATTGGGTGCCAAGGTGGGTCAACAGCCACAGAGAGTGATGGGTGAACTAGACTAGGTACACATTAGGATCTTCCAACTGCAGAGTTTTGTATGGTACCAAGTTTATGGAGGTCGGAAATTGTGTGGATGGTCAGGAATGCAATGGAATAGTCAAGTCTAGAGGTGACAATAGATAGAGATAAAGTTAGGCAGAGAAATGGCAAATGGATTTTAACCTGGACAAGTATGAGGTGATGTACTTTTGGAGAGGTCAAATGTAAGAGAAAGGTATACATTAAAGGGCAGGGCTATTAGAAGCATTGATATAGTGGGTGCAAGCCCATAGCTCCCTGAAAGTAGCAACACAAGAGAATAAGATGGTCAAGAAGGCACATAGTATGCTTGCCTTCATCAGATCAGGTTTGGAGTATAAAAGTTGGCAAGTCATGTTGCAGCTCTATAAGACTTTGGTTCGGTCACGTTTGGAGTATTGTGCACAGTTCTGGTTGCCACACGATAGACTTTAGAGAAAGAGCAAAAGAGGTTTACCAGGATTCTGCCTGGATTGGAGTGTACTAGCTATAAGGAGAGGTTGGACAAACTTGGATTGTTTTCGCTGGAGCATCAAAGGCAACAGGCTGACCTGAAATAAAATTATTACAGACATGGATGGGCGTAGTCAGTCTTTTCCCCAGGGTGGAAATGTCAAATACGAGGGGGCATAGGATTAAGGTGAGAGGGGGAAAGTTAAGGAGATGTGAGAACAGTTTTTACACAAAGGGTGATAAGTGCCTGGAACACACTGCCAGGGGAGGTGGTAGAAGCAGATACAATAGCAACGTTTAAGAGGCATTTAGACAGACACATGAACAGGCAGGGATTAGAGGGATATGGACCATGTGCGGGCAGATGGGATTAGTTTAGAATGACAGTATGGTCAGCACAGACATGGTGGCCCGAAGGGACTGTTCTTGTGCTGTTCTATATGCTTTATATAAAGGCTTGGATCAGGTAATCAGGATGGATTTTTATGACAATCTGACAGCTTCATGGTCATATACTGACAGCTGTAATTTATTGCCAATTCATTTTAAGTAATTCTTGAGCTGCATGGTGAGATTTAAACTTTGCATTGTGTGCATTAGTCTGAGGCTGTTGTGATTTCTACACTGACTCGATGTGATTATTAACAAGCCATTCAGGTGTGCAAGAGGGAAACACAAGGGAATTAGTTTATGATCTGGAAATGACGAATGCAGGGTTATGTGGAGAAGGCACAAGATGAATTGCTTATTCGGAGAGCCAGCCAAACAATGGGCTGAACGGCCTCCTCTGCACTGTACTATATCTGTGGACAGTTTATGTTCATAGAGTGCCTGAACCAACCCCAGGTGCTTCATAGGAACAACTGTCAGACAGATTTTGACATTGAGCCAGATGAGGAGATAACAGTAAATGAATTTTAATGACTATCTTAAAGGAGGTAACAGAGCTTTTGAGGTTTAGGAAAGGGATATTGGTGATCAGGGTCTTGTCAGCCAGAGGCCCAGTTGTCAGTAAAAGTTGGAGATAAACAAGAGGCTGAGATTGAAGGGGTTCAGTGGTCTTTTAGGGCTGGAGAAGTTATGTAAATAGGCAGGGGTGATGCCTTGGAGGAATTTAAAAACAAGGATGAGAATTTTTAAATTAACACAGAACCAGAGGATGGGCTTTGAGTGGCAACTTTGCTGGATTGAAGACTAAAACCACGGTTTTGAGGTTGTTCCTTTTTTTTCCCCTTTGCAGTTCCAGTTACATTGAGTGCAATGGGTGAGCCACAGCAGGTGAGTGCGTTGCCTCTGCCTCCAGCGCAGTACTACAAGGAGTACACAGATGACAATGTCCGCAAAGGCTTTGCTCCTAAGCCACCGCCTCCCATCAGGGACAGCTACACTATGTTTGGCAACCAGTTCCAGTGCGACGACTTGATCATTCGTCCATTGGAGGGCCAGGGCATCGAGAGGCTCCACCCCTCGCAGTTCGACCACAAGAAAGAGCTCAAGAAACTCAACATGTCAATCCTGGTGAACTTCCTGGACTTACTGGACATCCTGATCAAAAGCCCCGGGAGCATAAAACGAGAGGAGAAACTGGAGGACCTCAAACTCCTGTTTGTTCACATGCATCATCTGATCAACGAGTACCGCCCTCACCAGGCCCGGGAGACGTTGCGTGTGATGATGGAGGTGCAGAAGCGGCAGCGGCTAGAGACGGCCGAACGCTTTCAAAAGCATCTGGACCGGGTGATGGAGCTGATCCAGAGCAGCCTCTCCTCACTTCCCGATGACCTGCCTGAAACTGGGAACCTCATGGCCAAGGTGAAGATTGAACCCATCGACGTGGCCGAGTGTGTTGGCTGTGGGCAAGCAGAAACCCAGATAGACACCTCATCCAAGAGTGAAGAAGTTAGCGATAAAGATGCAGCCATGTGTGCTATCATTGACGATATGACATAGACACTTCACCTGTGAATATAGCCAGACTGCTTCAGAGGAGGCTGGTGCTGATAGGATTTTCGTATAGTGCAAGTGGGGGTGATAAATTGTCAATCTAGATCCTCCCCTTCAACTATAGTAGGATGACAGACTGTGGACTGTGCCTGGAGAGGCCTTGATAAGCTGCAGCTATTAGTGCCAGCAATTTCCAGCAACAAAATTTGTGCATTGACGAAGGAATTTGCATTAATGTGACTTCCTTTACAATCTGGGTATCTAACCGTACTTTGCCGTCCGTGAACTGTTTATGAAGCGCAACACGTAGGATCCCACATCTTTCCTTATTCCCCTGCCTTTGGAGATATTTGTCTCCCTCACAGCCCATTCCTAACTTTCTGAGTCCACTTATGGCAAGTGCTGAGGAGTCACATCGAAAGATCATCTTTCATGGTTTTTATTTTCATTCTGAAATGGTTCCGGATTACACATGCTGTATATTGTGCTCCCAGCAGTTATGTATCCTGTGGACTGATGTGGAGTGAACACACTGGTTGACAGTACTTTGGATTAGAGAGTTAAAATTCATTTATTCTCATTTTCCCCCTCTTATCCACTTATCTTGTCATAGCACCTCTAACCCTAGCCTAATCCCGTCTCCTTCTCCTAGGAGAGTATATTTACAGTTTGAGAACCTGTCCTAGTAAACACTTCAGTGATACCCTGTTCGAAGATCTCCAGTTTCATAATGTCTCAGGAGTGATTAATGTGAATGGAGACTGGACTGAACAACTGAATCAGCTATCACATCAGTCAGTGTGCTGTAAGACGTCTTCTGGGAATTGAGTTGACGTTTATAACCTGAAGAAAGTTACCTGTACCTTCACAAATTGTGCATGTGAATTTTTAATGTCTGTTGTCTTTAAAGTCTTACTCCACCAGCACACGTTCCGGATCCTGGAGTCTGCTTCACGTTCTGTTCTTGAGTAGGTGCAGAGTTGAAGATTTCAACTGACTAACCGAATGGGGCATTGGGTTTGAAGTTAAACTGGAGCAAATTAGGACAGAAGGTGCATTCTTTGACCTGGAGAATGTCTTGCAGATTCATATTGATGGTAGTAGAAATGCTATCAAATGGGAGAAGTTGATACTTTATTGTATTCTTAAGTGAAACATTTCTGTTTCAAAATAAAGGCTCTGTTGCCCATTATCCTCTGAAATCAAACATTTATTTCCAACCAATATTCATTTCAACTCCTGGAAAAATATGTTGCAACTTGCAGAAGAGGTTATATTTGAGCTCCATTGTGATTCTAAAGTGAGTGCTGCTAATGTCTGCAAATAAAGTACAGTTTGTCACTGCTGCCCTTGTGGGCAAATTGACTTAACAGTGCACACCATGGGTTCTGATTACACTGCCCTGGGAGAAATGATTCAGTTAACAGAAATATTAAGTAATTCTGAGAAACAGTTTTATTATCTCATTGCTGGGAGTATGGCACTCTGAGGTCAGTAACAAAGGAGCGCTGCACTGTCGAATATTCCCTAGAAATGCTGTTTAAGGGATAAAATTGACCAGAATGCTGGCTAGAACTGCTTTGATCATCTCTGAAACAGCACTGTTTGATCTTTTACATCCACCTGAGAGATTGTATATCACTTCTGGTCAGGTTCTCTCATTGCAGTTTAAGGAAGCTTGCAGTGTGCAAATTGGCTGCCATATTTCATAAATAACGGCAGTGACAACAGTAATGAGGCGTTCAACCAAACGTGGCATCGAGGAGCCCTGGAAACATGGGAATCAATGGGTATCAGAGGGCAAACTCTCTGCTGTTTGGAATCGTACCTGGCACAAAGGTAGATGGTTGTGGTTATTTCAGCCTGAGGACATCTCTGCAGGAGTTCCTCATGGTAGTGTCCTAGGGCCAGCTACGTTCAGCTACTTCATAAATAACCTGCCCTCCATCATAAGGTCAGAAGTGGGGATGTTCGCCAATGATTGCACAATATTCAGCACCACTGGCAACTCCTTGGATACTGATGTAATCCATGATCAAATGCAACAAGATCTGGATAATATGCAGGCCTAGGCTGACAAGTGGCAAGTAACATTAGCAGTACACAATGCCAGGCAATGACTGTCTCCAATAAGAAATGATCGAACCACTGCCGCTTGACATTCAATGGTTTTACCATCACTGAACCATCCACTATCAACTTCCTTGGGGTTACCATTGACTAGAAACTCACTGGACTAGCCACGTAAGCACAATGGTTACAGGAACAGGTCAGCAGCTAGGAATACTATGATGAGTAACTCACCTCCTGACTTCCCAAAGCCTATCCATCATCTATAAGGCACAAATCAGGACTGTGATGAATACTCCCCACTTGCCTGGAGGGATGCAGCTCTAACAATACTCAAGAAGGTTGACATCATCCAGGACAAAACGACCCATTTGGCACCACATCCACAATGTTCCCCTCCCTCGATCACTGATGCTCAGTAGCAGCAGTGTGTACTATCTGCAAGCACTGCAGTGATTCACCAGAGATCCTTAGACAGCATCTTCCAAATCTGCTACTACTCCCATCCAGAAGGAGAAGGGCAGCAGATACGTGGGAACACCACCAGCTGCAAATTCCTCTCCAAGTCATTCACCATCCTGACTTGGAAATATATCACCGTTCTTTCACTGTTACTGGGTCAACATCCTTGAATTCCTTCCCTAATGGCATTGTGGGTCAAACTACATCCCATGGATTGCAACAGTTCAAGAAGCCAGCTCATCACCTTCTCAAGTCCAGTTAGGGATGGACAGTAAACACTGGCCATCCAACAATGACCACATTCCAAAAGTAAATAAAAAACGGTCTATTTCCTGTCACTGAACCAATTTAGAGGATACACCACAATGGAGTATCTACAGAAGAGGTACTTAGATAACAAGGTTAATTGTACAATTACTAGGACCTTAGGGAGCTAGTACAGATACACCTCCACCCCCAAAAGCTGGAGTACCCCTCCCTGTCTGCACTTGCAGACTGTGTGTGACTTCAGTAGAATGGGTGGAACCAATGGAACATGAGCATTAGCTGCTGCAGAACTATTACCTTCTAATCAAGTTTATAAACAGTCATTTGAGAGTATGCAATTCGAATAGTGCCGCAAAAAGACACATTTTGATAAAGCTATTCATCTTGAACTCATCAAGATGATTTGCAAGAATACCAATTCATGGAGAAAACTAGCGTTTCTGCTGTATGATTGGTTGATTAGCAAATGGACTCTGATTGGTAGAAGTGTTGCAATAGAGAATGTACCAAATAATAATGATTGATAAGTTAACAACTGGGCTTTGTTTAAATTTTAAATCAGTCAAATTGACTTTATTGTTCCACAAAATAGATGACATACAGTCACAGGGTGGGCCTGTAGCTCAGTTAGCTGGATGGCTGCTTTGCATTGCAGAATGACACCAACAGTCTGTATTCAGTTCCTGTGCTGGCTGAGGTCACCATAAATCATAGAAGCCCTACAGTGCGGAAAGCAGCCATTTGGCCCATCGAGTCTGTACCGATTCTCTGAACAGCATCCAACCCAGACCCATCCCCTCATCCTATCCCTGTAACTCCGCATTACCATGGCTAACCCACCTCACCTGCACACCCCTGGACACTTCGGGGCAATTTAACATGGCAAGTGCACCTAACCTGCACGTCTTTGGACCGTGGGAGAAAACCCATGGAGAGAATGTACAAACTCCACACAGATAGTCGCTCAAGGCTAGAATCAAACCTGGGTCCCTGGCTCTGTGAAACAGCAGTGCAACCACTGAGGCACCATCCACCCTCTTTCTAAGCATGCCTCTTTCTGAACCCCTCCCCTCACCTGAGGTGTGGTGACCCTCAGGTCAACTGCCACCTAATGTGGGGGAGCCCTATTGTTTCCTGGAACTATGGTAACTTATTCACAGGACAAAGCTCTGACCATCAAAGTCAACCAATTTGCACTCTCAAGCCATATAAATATTGATTTTCTTATTGCAAATTATGCTGATGTATGCGTAACAAAAAACTTCAACAAAATTTGTCTTTTATCTGCAATCAGTTGGTTTCTTGGGAGTAGAGAAAGCTGTCATAGTAGTGAAGTCAGTTCAATAATAATTAACAATGGTGAGAGTAAATGCTAATCCAAACGGATTAACATCATATAGTTTTATCTCCAACAATCGAGATGTATGGTCACCAAGTTTTGGTTGTGTATTAAAATATCCAAGAGACTATCGATGCAAAGTTACCAGAGATTTCAATGCAAAGTTGTGAACAAATACACAATGTAGCGGCAAGTATGGACTTGGCGCAACTAATGAAAGAGGATTGACACTCCTTGATTCATTAGAATAATGCTTGTTATGAATACATACTTCTGTTGTAAGAATAGTCAGCACTATGGAGGGACTTCGCCTGATAAATGTTACAAGAACATTGATTAAATTGCAGTCAGAGGAAGAAATACAACAGAGGGGCTGGTTTTCAAAACCTTGCCTCATACTGATTGTGGTTCTGAACATCAACTGGTACAGGCGAAGATCAAAGGAAAAAGTTGGTGGCATAAGCTAAAGATAGGAAATAACCTATAAAAAAATGAAGAAACCCAACAGAATTGGAAAGAAAAGTAAAAATACGTACAGAGTTAAGTGAAAGGTGCCATTGTCAACAGCACTATTTATTGCATTGGATAAACTATGCTCAAAATTACAAAAAGCAAAACAGTCGCCGATCACAGTTGATCATTTAAACCCTAGGAGCGAAGAGGCATGGTGCAAAGACCAGTGGTGGACAGAGTAGAGAATACCTCAGGTGGTATGTTTATGTAAGTAAAGGCTAAAAAACAACTGAAATAAAAGCAGAAAGTGCTGGAGGAACTCAACAGGTCTGGCAGCATCTGTACGCAAAGAAACATTGAATGCTTGGAGTCCGGTATGATTTTCCTGTGGAACTGGTTAAATGAAAGAGCTGTCGAAACAGACGAAGCTTTCGTCAATGGCAACAAGAAGAATATATGTTCACTCTTCAAAGTCATAGCTAGAAAGAGGTATGTAAACACAGGAATAGTGTTGAGAACATAAATGGAGACATGCTATTCAAGAAGAAGATTGGGCTCAGATAGGAAAATTAATGCATGAGACTGGGGAAGAATCAGTACAACAAATAAATAACAAAGATTGGAAGGTAAAAGAGAAAGAGATGGAACCTGCAGTACTGAGAGACAAGAGAGGGAAAGCATTCAATAACATCCAGAATGGAAACACAGAAGGAGTGTTACAAGATTGTCAATGGGTTATGGACATCAGATGAAATATATCCTAATCAACCTGTTCAGAGATGTTACCACAAGCTCTGGAGTATGTTGAACCTGGGCCTACCTGGCTCAGAGTTAGGGACAATCTCACCGTGTAATGATCTGGCAAGTGAAGTCATTCCAAGATGGTCACATGCCCAAAACAGCAGGTACATCAGATTGTCCGAAACATCATACACCAACCGTCATGTGAAGTATTACTTTACATCATCAGGTAGAAACTTGTTACCTGTATGAACACGCGAGACATGATAGAGAAAGTATTTGACTTCATTCCTGGAAAGGGTACAATTGATGCCATGCTAAAGTTCAGAAATCACATTGAGGAGTAAATAGTTAGGAAGCTCAGCTTTCGTTCACGTTCATGTGAGCACTAAATGAATGAATCTATTAAAGTATACAACTCAAAGCAGAATTAGGCAGTGTTAAAATCTGAAAAATTGCCAAAAGCAAGTTCATAAATAATCTTTCAGGCAACAGAGAGAAATATCGATGATCTGGCACTGGCTGGCTGAATCGAAACCTGAAAACTGTTTGTTATGGACCAGGCATTTTAAGAAAATAATTTTAGCTACCCAGAAACCTTTATCACATGAAGAAATTTCAGAAGAAGAGCCTATCAGACGCAAAGCTTCTTTTTATTCATTTGTAGGAAGTGGACGTCTTTGACAGTCCAGCATTTATTGCCCATCCCTAGAGAAGGTGGTGGTGAGCTGCCTTCATGAACCACTGCATTCTACCCGCTGTGGGTTGCCCACAATGCCCTTAGGGAGGGAATTCCAGGATTTTGACCCAACGACAGTGAAGGATTGGCAATAAAATTCCAAGTCTGCATGGAGAGTGAC